CACTGTGGGTTTTGAAGAGGAGGAAGAGTACAACAGACCCGCCATGGGAGAATACACGCCAGAGGCATAGAAGAAGAAGATGTATACACTATGAATTCATGAGTATATATAGAGGAGGGAGGAGACGAAGTTGAAACTGACAGAGTTTGAAAGGTAGTCTCTCGTGAATATTTGGAGACGAAGCCGTTTTTGTTAGTTTGGCCTTTCTTCTTATTTTCTCTTCCTATATAAACAAAATATTTATATACAAAATGTATAAAGTATTGGTCAAAAAAATATTACAATGTAGCTAAAAAGTTTATATAACTTTAATCCAAAATACTAAAAAATGCGGTGCCCGTATAAAATTGGTAAACAATAAATTAGAGTTTTCTTTTGACCAATGCTGAAAAGAAAGTGAGAAAATGCATTTAATATTAGTGTAAACTGACGAAATAATCGGTCTTTAGTAACGTCAATTGATTAGATTTACTAATCTAGGAGATTTGATAATTAAAGTTTCTGCCAAACTCTCTACTACGCCAACCCTAATTAATTTATTATTTACAACAATAGGCTGATTAATAACCTGAGAATGTAACCAACAAGATTCAGTTTTGATTTAAGTTTTTATACATTTCATAAACCGAAATAAAATCCGCAAACCAAATACTATGATCTCAAACCGGAATTAACCACCACCTTACATAGTGTGACCAATTCTTACTTACTTTGGTTTTGTTAGAATCACATATTGTTCTTATCAGAAAACAACTATAGAAAACTATACATACATAACCATTTGTTAGAAGAAGTACTAAATTGCATCAATTGATCTTCTCATGCCAATATGAGCTCCAAGGAGTGGACCAATGTTCCCATCCAAAACCGATTTCAGGTCCAGAATCTCTAAACCGGTTTTCATATCAACCACCATCTTCTGACCTTTAGAGACATATCTCCTAGTTTCTTCTACATTCAATGGTTCCACAATGTTCTTGCTGTTTACTGTATTAACATCCGAAATCTTTTCCTCTTTTGCTATCAGAAGCAACTTCGCCTTTAATCGGTTTAGAGCTTTGATCTTGTTTGCAAACCGGTTTCTTTCTCCTGCATCACAAAACCTTGTATTATAATCTGTATCAAATGCAGTAAACTGAAGTATAATGTACTCAAGAATACCTGAAGATTCTACGGTTATTCCACTCGGAAGATGTTGAATACGAACCATTTGCTCAGCTAATTTATGATTCTCTTTTGCAGGATACGATACAATCAAATCCTCTTCCTTTACTTCAAAATCAGGAGATGCTCTCAAGAATAACGGTATGATATCCACAGTCGCTGAACATACCTAGCGCAAAGAAAACATCTTTTAGTTCATTACCGGGGGATGAAAACGGACAAGAAAGTGATTAATTGCGAGAAAGAGGAGTTTATAGCTCATAATGTATACCTCACTAGAAGTGGAACTTGTGATAAGGCGATGCATGCCTCGCTCACCTAAGAGATAACCGTAAGCAAACTCGAATTCAAACTCTATTGTTGCTGAATATACGCCATTGTTGTTACTCAATAAGCTGCATTTCTCAGCCACTCTTGCATTTTGGCCTAGCTTTTCTGCCCATTTGATGTACATACTTACAACTTGCTCTGTCCATATCTGCAAATTCTCAAAACCATAAGAACACAAAGAAACCAAGAGTGGAAATATTTAAGCTCCTTGAGGATTATGAATTTGACCTGAGATTTTGTGTCTTGAGATCCAGATTTGATAATCATACAAGCGCCTTCAGCGTCATATTGATCCATAAGAAGCTTAGACATTTCATAGTGATGCAAAGATCTGCTTACATCGAGTGATGAATCATAAGCTTGCTCAAACAGACTGTAATCTATAGCATCCATCTCACCCAATTGTATGATTAGCTTAGCTTCTTCAGCCTAAATAACAACAAAACACATTCAAAACTTAATTTCTCACAAAAATACAAAACAAGAAGATTTTTTAAAGTAGATTTATAAAGAACCTTGTATTTGAGGTCTTTAAGGGAATCAACTGCTTTTGCACGATCAGCTAATTTGAGAAGAATCTCATCGGATTTCGATGGATCATCCCATAAATCAAAGTAACGCATCGTTTCTTCTTGCTTTATCCATTGCTCTTCTTCAAGCTCAAGAGCATTCGGTGCTAACATCTCAGCTTTAAGTACAACATCTTTGATCTTCTTCTTTAGTGAAAACAATCCTAAAAGGGAAATTTTAAACAAAGATTTTACTCAAACACCACCAAACCAAAGAAAAAAACCATTTCAAAATCATAAAGCTCCCAACTTTATCTGAAGACAGAACAAATCCCCACAACCCAGTTCCAAATTTACAATTTTTCTTAACAAAAAAACTCATCAGCTTCAATGACTATCTCTAT